AGAAAGATTCCTTCCTCAGCTTCTCCAGCCTTGTTGGGACCCATTCTAAGCTAGGGTGTCTGGCCAAACTGGAATCCAGTGAAGGGTGGGCTCCTGAAGACAATGGTGGTGGTGGTGGTGATGTGCTATGGAGTCAGTTCCAACTCATAGTGACCCTGCACAGAGTTTCCAAGGCTGTAAATCTTTACAGGAGCAGCAAGCCTCATCTTTCTCCCGCAGAACAGCTGGTAGTTTCAAACTGCTGACCTTGAGGTTAGCAGTCTGATTCATAATGACTATGCTACCAGAGCTCTTTTTGAAGACAATGAAGTGGGTCTAATTACCCTCTGCTCCTGTTTCCTGCTCTGATTATGCCTAGCACTCAGCCTATAGAGTAGCCTCCCTGCTGAGAATCCAGTAGGCTGTTTCCTACATAATGCCTGGCCCCGGGGTACAAGAGCTCAGGAAATACCTATTAAATGAAAAATCAGATCAGACCAGCAAACTACACTGTGATCTTTGGATCTTTGGATCTGCGGAGCTGTCCTCTGCAAAATTGACTCAACTGATGAGATCATCGATTCAATTAAAAAAAAATTAATTCCACTGCTAAATCCCACTAGTCACCCTGCAAGTGTGATATACTTATGCCTGCCATATTCATCACAGAAGGTCTCCTTGGGTAGATTCACTGAGTCTGTGTGTGTTTATAACAGTTGGAAATTCAGGTTAATAAGATTGTGGTTAAATCTAGCATGGTTGAATGGAAGGGAAGTTGAGACATTGAAACGGGGGTCCTTTTCATCTTCTCACCCATTTTTAGTTTTGCAAACTGCAAGCCAGTACTTATTAAAGTCCCATGAGTCCGCAGAGCCGAGAGAAGTTCTGAGCATCTAGAGGAAAGAGCTGTGGTGATCCTAAATCAGCCAGCATAACTTTGAGGATGTAAGGGAGGGGTCTCTCAGCACCCAATAGGTTCCCAGGGTCAGGTAGCCGAAAAGAACACTTGAGGTGCAGTGGGAAGATGGCTCTTTCCTTTATTCAACAAAAACGGTCAGCATGGCGGGTTAAGGGGTCTCAGGTAATCTCTTGCCCTTCCCCATCTCGTTCTTGGCTCTCAGAACTCACTCATGCTTTCTCTCCCTTCTCCTACCCCTCACATGGGGGAAGTCCTTATATACTACTACAGAACAAAGAAGACATCTTGCCAAATATATCTCACAGGTTATGTAACAGTATGACATCTTTCTAATAATGACAGGGCACATAGCAATTTTTTAGCATTGGTGTGGCACGATGGGTTAATGCTCTAGACTGCAAAGCCTTTTGAACTTCAAGGTCGGTGGTTCAAGCTCACCAGCCACTTCTTGAAAACCCTATACAGGGTCCCTATGGGTCGGAACCGACTCGAAGGCACTTAACAGTTTTGTGCCAAATCACGAGTCCGCTCCTGCCTGTAAGGGGAGTCCCTGGTAATCTTGAGCATCACCTTCTGACTCAACAGAGGAATGGGAAGGCTATTCTATTATCTATCTTTCTTGCTGATGTTAGTGTTTTTAAAGAATGTGCACCAAACTGGATAGTTTCCAGCAGTGAGCAGGAAAGACATGCAAGATAAACAAAAACACTCAAGGTAGGGTTCCAAGGAAGACGGTTCCTGGGAGCAATTTGGTTTGGAATCTGAAAAGGGGGTATAAAATCAGGAAGAAAAGGAGCTATGTGTGGAGGTGTCCGCTTGTTCTTTTCATATTTATTTACATAATAGATGTAGCATGTCTATGGGCTTTCAACAGGAAGTATCTGGAATCACCACCTTTTCTTAATGTGCTATTTCAAGATTCTCATTCCCATCAAGACCTGATAAGCCCGCCTTCACCACAGCCAAGCATCAAAACCTGGAGTTTTATTGAGTTCACACCACTTGGGACTTGAGCAGGAGATATTTTGTTTTGGGTTCTGGTGTTGATGTGTGATGTGGATGATCTGGTGGGTCACAACTATCTTACAGGCACACAGTTGACCCTGGAGACAAAGTCCTTGCAGTGCACATGTGCCGGGTGGATGAAGAGAGATTGGCCTTCTCCCTTCTGCACGTTCAGATCTCGCAGCAGCATAATCACGTTTCTACACCTGCTCTAAAGGGACACCCAGGGGTGAAGAGGCAAAGATGATTTCAGGGCTTTAAACCAGTTCAGTCATGGCCAAGAAATCAAAACAGAAAGAGATGCAGATTTTTACAATTTGGATGGATTCACAACAGTAAGCAGAATGGGCAAAATGACAGGTCGAAGGCCTGGAATGGCAACCTTAGAAGGGGCACTCTGAGCCATACATTCAAAGCAGCCCATTGAGTGAGACTGGATTTCTGGCAGAAGTGAGGAAAGCAACATACATTCAAAGCAGCACAGTTGGCTGCTATCTTTGAGAAGGGCATTGGTATTTCAGAATCCCAATGACAAGTGATTTGTCCCTTTGAAACCCATATGCTGCCCTTGTTTTCTAAGAGGGAGATTAGGATTCTAGCAGGATTCCTCTCTGTAATTATTCCTGTTTCAGTGATTGTTCAGATTCACCCAAATTTTTAAAACTCGAGTCTGTTCTGGTTTTACTACCTCAGCCACGACTGAGTATTTCCTTTGGGTTTTCTCACATGTTTCCAAGGCCTGGAGAAGCGAGCAGAGGAGCATATCCTGGAGCACATTTCTAGCCTCCACTCCTCCTCCAAATCCCAAATCCTGGAGTAGAAATAAAACAAGAATTTACTTCCATCTGAAAGGCTTGTGTCCAGCTGCCCCTTGGGTCTCAAGTGCCAGCAGGGCTCTAGAGGGCGTGTTATGAAGCATCACACGCTTGCTCTCGTGGTCTGGTGATGTGGTCTCCTGGAATTGGTCCAGTCCAGGAGAAAGCCTCTGGGAGGCAGGAAGGAGTGAGGGAAGAGCGGAAGGCAGCAAAATTGCCAGGCATAGGCGGTTGTAGAGACAGTGACTGCTTCTTGGAGGAATATGAAGAGTTGGCTTTGCATCCTGGTTAAAATTATAGAAGGTCTTCAGTCCCTGGGAGAGGAGTACATACACGAGGGCAGAATTGGGTCCTGAGTCAAAGGGGCCCGAGTTCTCACCTAAACCTCTTCTTTCCCTTCCATAACCAACCCGTCATCACAATGAATGTGTCCAACATAGAAAGCTATGACCAGGAACTGGAGAGTTTAGCTAAGTGAAGAGGGTCCTGAGAGCATCTTGCCCAGGAAGAGTCATCCATTCCCCAGAAGGTCTGATTATTGGACAGCGCTTTGATCCTAAGACTAGACTGCCCAATGACTACTGTAATTTGGAGAAGACAACTGTAGCATAGCCCTGTGTGTAACAGCAGAGGATGTCATTTACATTGAACTGTTGTGAAGTGAGTCCCTAGAATTGTTCAACATGTTCCCAACGTAGAATCCCACCCTACCCTTTCAACACCCTTAACAGTCAGCAGGGAACACCCAGTTAAAGCTCTGGGGGTGGGAGACCCTGATCTCCTCTGCTCCAGACAACTGGAGAGTGGGTGGTGACCAGAGACACCTCCCATGCAAGTAGCAGAGCTTACCTGTTTTGCTTTCCTGTGGATGCATGGTCACCCTGACAACAAGTGGCTAACCTTTTAGGAGCCCCCTCCTGATGGCGAGTTTCCCAAGCTCTGTGGACACTCAGCTTCTGGGGGTCCCTGTGGAGGATTTGATCCCCTCATGACACTGTTTATTGAGTGGAAGTTCTACAGATTTTTGGTAACTTTTTTGTATAAAACCAACAACACACGGAAATCTAATGTGATGCTGATATGGGATGAGTTAAGACGGTAAGATTACAAATTACCTATGGTCTTATTTTATTGCATATTTAAAAGCAATACCTTCTGTAACCTTTTCACTTTAAAGCATAGTGAACATCAATGTTGTTTTCCTTACTACAACCTAATGGTTTTGGTTTCATTGACAGGTAGAGGCAAAGTTTGGTGTCAGTTTTGTAAAGAAAAATGATTACTAGAGGTAAGGGGTTAGCTCCAGGAAACTGTCCCCATGTAATGTGAAGATCTCATGACTGGATTGTATTGATGTCAGGGTTTGAGGAGGTGGGCTCATCACTTCCACACCTGTCCCATTAGACCCCCTCCTCCTTTACCTCTTCACCCTCAGAAGGCCCAGGTCCCTGGGGCTCTGCCTTTTCTCCCAGGATCCAAAAGTCCTTTTCTGTCCATTGCAGTATTCTCTCTGAAGCCTGCCCCATTTAAATTAGGGAGCAGCAAACAGCCTTCAGTGCCCCGCTGACCTGACCCTGGGACTAAGAGGAATCCAAGGTGCCTCTCCAGGACTTGAGAAGCCACTGAGTCCCACAGCCCACCCCTGTTGTCCCTCTAGGTGCTTCACCAGTGATTCTGGACCCTGAGTGTACGTTGTTAACTGTCGTCTGTGCGTCCTGAATTCTAGGACCTGAAGACATCAACATCGCCTCCATGGAGCTGGAGCTGTTTAGTAGTTATTTGTATTACTTTAATTAAATCTATTTACATTTGTATCTCATTCTTTAAATTGTACATTTCCATATTCCCACGGGAGAAAAATGCGGCTGTATGCTACCATAAAGATTCACAGCCTTGGAAACCCCATGGGACAGTTCTACTCTGTCCTTAATGGTCGCTGTGAGTCTGAATCAACTGATGGCAGTGGGTTGGGTCGAGGAGCCTGAGTCCCACCGCCCACCCCACTGTGACCCTCCTCTGTCCCTGTAGGTGTCCCTGTTTGTGTGAAGCTGAAGGAATGCACTTCAACACGTAGGTTCTTCTTTCAACTACATGGAATAAAAACCTCAAGTGAAGCAGTTTTAGAGATAAAGACGATTCATTGACCCTGCAACTGAAAATTCCAAAGCTTCAGGTATAATGATGAGACCTAAGTGGTCCCTATGTCATTATGGTCCCAAGCCTGGGACTGGCTCAGCTCAGCCATTCTAGATTTTCACCTTTGACTTCAGGCTGATGCCTTCATGGCTGGGTAAGGTCCAGGCTCCCCTTCAGGACATGAACCTTTCAATAAACCTCTACCCCCAACATTCCAAGCAAATGATCTGAGATCAGTCTTGATTGGGACTGCTTTGGGTACAACCCCAATCTTGAACCAAGATGCCGGGAGGCCACCCTAAACAGAAGCAGGCACCCAAAGATTCTGAGTTCCAAAGGTCAGACCCACCCCTTCTCTCCCCCAGACCCATCATCCTGGACCCAGCAGATCCCACCAATAACCTTGCAAAGGGGAAGAGATGGGACTTGGTGGCCAAAGAAGCTGTTCACTGCCTACGGCAGACCTGCTGCTACATTGAAGACCCCAGCCGGGGCTGGCAAGTACAGGTATGACCCCACTCTTTAGTCATGACTCATAAATCTCCCACAACTCCTGCCACAGCACCCACAAGTACCCCAAACCGGCAGCAGCCCCTAAAGATGCGCTGACCAACCAGGTGTGCATTTCCTTCCCTCCTCCTGAAAATGTCTACGCCTCAGTTCTTTCCCCTGGAAAATCGGTAGAACGATTCCTGCCCGCTCAGTAGCCAATTGAGAGATGCAGTCACAGAACTTACTCACCTATATGCACACTGTGATACAATGATTCCCTGTGGTAGACTGGCAAAACCCCAACTGCTTGCCATCCAACAGGAGATGGACTAGCTATATACACCAGCAATGCAGGACTAGCACAGGGTTCCACTGTGACTACTGTCTCTATCCTCACCCATGGTTCACAGCCAGACCCGGCTTCACAGGCCAGGACTCTGCTTAGGAGCTTAAGGAGAGAACTAGTGTCCCCAGCCTGCTCCTCCCAGAGTGAACTGGGTGCCAAGACACCATTTCAGAGTCTGTCTGCTGGGAAATTTTGAACTTGGACGTAAAGGGCAGCCCTCAGCACCTGAAGCAAGTCAGATGCCCAAAGCAGCAGAGGGGCCACCACCCAGCCACATCTCATTGGCTGCAATTATCCAGCTGACCAAGGACCCGTGCTGGTGAGGTTCATGGGACTAGTTCCTATTATTATTACTATGAACTTGCATTTTGTGAAAAGGTAAGACATGTTCACAGCAGTGGAAAGGTACATACTTAATAAGTCTTCTATTCATTTTAACCCCCAGACTCTCAATTCTAAATCCTCCTAGACATCTACCCACGGATCCATTTCATCCATCTCCTTCCATGAATATGACATTCAAAGCAAATTTTTGCTTGTGTTCAATTGTGCATCCTGATTTGGGCACATTTTTACTTGATTTGGTTTATTTATTTTACTTACATTATTAAGCTTCTTATTAAGGAACTCTGTGCAGAAGCCAACCAGCTCTCCTAACTCCGAGGGCCGGTAGGCAGCATCCAGTTAAGTCCCGGGGGCAGGAGACCCTGATCTCCTCTGCTCTAGGCCCCTGGGAAGGGGTGGGGACCAGAAGCATCACAGGTGTAAGTAGTAGAGCTCACCTGGCTCTGCTCTGCCTCCCTGTGAGTACATGGTCACCCCTGAGAGCGGGGAGCTTCCCCAGCTCTCAGGACCCTCAACCTCTTGGGGGCCCTGTCAAGGATATGGGCCACTTCATGACACCATTTATCAAGCTGAAGTTCTGTAGCTCATCTGTACATGTTTGTACAGACTCAAAGTAAACCCTAATCCGAAGAAAATTCAACACCAGTGCTCACCTGCAATGAGTTAAGGGAGCAGGATTACAATTACCTACATTTCACTTATTTTTCAAATTTTCCAACCATCCCTTTCTGTCCACTGCAATATTCTCTCTGAAGGCTGCCCTTTGGGTGCTCAGGTTAAATTATGCTGTGGGAGAGTTATAGGCACTTCTACCCTCAGCAGAGAGTAGCAAACAGCCCCCAGTGACCTGCAGACCTGACCCCTGGGAATAAGAGGAGTCCAATTGCCTCTCCAGGACCTGAGAAGACACTGAGTCCCACAGCCCACTCCTGTGTCCTTCTAGGTGTCTCAATAGCGATTCTGGCCCCTGGGTTTGTGTCGCAGATTCTGGAGTTCAGTGAAGACTGGGATCTAAAGCCCTCAGCATTACCTCCACGGAGCTCGAGTTGTCCTAATATTGATCTTTATTCCTTTAATTTAATTCATCTATAGTTAACAAATGTGAAGATGGTGCGGGAGCAGACAGTGTTTCTTTCTGCTGTGCACAGGGTCACTCTGAGTCAGAATCAACTTGATGGCACCTAACAACAACATATTCATATTTTACTCTTAAATTATATTTAAATTTTGTTATTGTTTATTGCAATCATGTACTTGTTTTTTTGTAATTTATATTTAAGCCATTTAGGGTTTTACCATTTTTTTCTTCCATTTAGTTTTATAGTTATGAATTTTCTGTCTATTTTACATTTATCTATTCAATATGGTTTTAGCTGGAGCTATTTATACTTGCTTCCTAGTTTTATTTAGCGGTCCTGGAGACACACAGTAAAGTGCTCAGCTGAAAACCTAAAGGTTGGCAATTCAAACCCATTCAGCAGCTCCTTGGGAGAAAACCCTGGTAATCTGACATAAGAATTACAACCAAGTTTAGGACCACAGTCTTAAAGGACAAATAGGTCAACTGGCATAGCTTAATTCTTAGTGTTCTACATTCTAGGTTAGTGAGTAGCATCTGGGGTCTTAAAAGCTTGGGAGAGGCCATTCAAGATACAACTATTAGTCTCTACACATCCAGAGCAAAAGAGCATGACGGAAACTAAAGACTCAAAGAAGCTAGTCTACAGGACTAAGATTCTACACGAAACAGGGACTCACCCACCTGGAGGTCAGAAGAATTAGATAGTGCCTGGCTACCACTAACCAGATGGCCCTCTGGGACACACTAGAGGGTTCAGGACAGAATGGGAAAGAACAAAGCTCAAATTCCTAAAAATGGCCAAACTTACTGGACCAGTACAGACTAAAGGAAGCACAAAGACTATCATGCTGAGACACAGTTTAAACTTGGGACTCAAACCACTCCAGGAAATCACCTGTCACACAGGGAGGGGTGAAAAAAATGCACATGTTGGAAACCCTATGTAGGGTCGCTATGAGTTGGAATCAACTAGAAGGCAGTTTGTTTGCTTTGGCATATATATCATTAGGTGCCACCAGGTCTGTTCTGACCTACAGCACCCCTGTACATCCCAGGCCGTAAATTTTTGTGGGAGCAGAAAGCTTGGTCTTTCTCCCACAGAGAAGTTGATTCAAGCTGAGAAAACCCTATGGGCATTTCTACTCTTTCACACGAGATCACTAGGAACCAGTCAACCCCATGACACCCAACAAGTGTTTTGGGGGTGATTTGGGCTGATTTCTCATTCGTTAGAGCCCCAGGCATATAGGTGGGGTTCAATTCTTGTAGAGGCAGCGCATATGACAACAGAAATACCAAATACCTTGGGCTACCTGAAGAATGAACAAGTCTGTCTTAGAAAAAGTGCAGCCAGCATGCTTCTTGGAAGCAAGCATGACAAGACTTCATCTCACATGGTTTGGACATGTGATCGGGACCAGTCCCTGGTAAATTACCATGCTTGGTAAATTAGAGGGTCAGCAGAAAAGAGGCAGACCCTCATGAGTAGCCACAATAGTGGGTTCAAACCCAGTAATAATTGTGCGGATGGCACAGGCGTGGGCAATGCTCCGTTCTGTAGTATATAGGGATGATAAAGAGTCAAAACCTACTCTGTGGTACCACCACCACAACCAATGGGGTGAAAGGCTATAGAGTGATAAAGTTTCTATAGTTTACCAGGAGAGTATTAACTCTTACTAGACTGTGAAATGTTATATATATATATTTGTTATCCCCAGAGCAATCACACAAGACAATTCCAAAGTCACTCAGGTAAAATTGGTTAACCTCAGTAATCCTCTAGGGGTATGAATAAAGCAGGTAAAATATGTTACACATATATATTTACATGAACAAAAAGTATCCATTTTTCTTAAGTCAACACTTAGGATTGTTGGATCACATGACAAAGTATGTCTTCTTCCAGCCTGCCTTTCTGTCACCATGTCCTCACTGCAGCAGGATCTGAGCAGGTCTCCACAATGCCCCTGGGGAAAGGGGATAAGGACTCACAAGCACCTGTCTCTTCCCCCACCAGCTGCCCCAGCTGCCCCTCCAGCCCCAGCACTAATCCACAGCTGAAGAGATACAAGAAGCAGAACTCCTTAGAACCAGTAGCTGTTCTAGAATATGCTGGAGTGGCCGCCTATAGATTCTTTGCATCTCCCCCTCCTTTCTCTATGTCACATCCCCTCTCACCTCCCTTCCTCCCCACCATCAGGCATTGCCATGGATGACCAGATGGGTTTCCTGTTCTCCCCTGCTCCGCCCTGCATCCTTCCCTCCCTCGTCTGCCTCTGCAGCTTCTGCTTCATGTTCAAGCCCATTTGTGGGCATCTCTGACGGTGAAGGAAGCCCTTACCTGCAGAACAGAGTCATCTACACCCAGGGGTGTGTATTCTCACAGAACCCATTCTGTCATTGATCCTGGAGCCCCTCTCCACCATCACTGCTCTAGCTTCTCAACTAACACATTTATGGGCTGGCTGGCCAGCCTACCTCTGATTGGGAGTCATCCCCATCTCCTTCACCCCATCTTTCCAGCCTGTCCTTCTGAGACCTCCGACCATCTGATCAGGACCTTCAGATACCCCTGCTGCCAGTGACAACACTGAAACAACCAGCCCACCTGTGCTGAGGGTCTGTGGTTCCATTCCGACCTGGAGAACTTCCCTTTGGCCCTGGCACACCACAGCCCCTCTCTGAAGCCCTGTGGCTTCAGAGCACAGCACTATCCCTCTAGCAGCTCACTGGAAACCTTGCAGATCCTGCCCGGCCCCAAGCTCCACTCCCGGCAGGCCAACCTTCACCAGAACATTTAACACTTCCAACCTGAAAGCACCCATGCCAGCACACAACTGGCCGTGTTAGTGCTTCAGCTGTTTTTACCTCTGGTAGGTAGCTGTCACCAACATACAGAGGCTGCCCCAAGTCTAAACTGTAAGGACCAAACTGATTTTACCTGATTTTGCCTACCTAGAAACTGCTTGGCTAAACTCTAGTCAGGCTCAAGAAAGCATTTTAAATAGACAAGGCCTCAGTTATTAGTTCCCTCCAGAGGCAAGGTCAATCTCCATTCTGTACAT